CCCTACACAAGGTTTAAAGTTCTGCTGTTCACTTGCAGCAGACATCCCAAATGGACAGCCCATCTTAGGGCTCTAAGGCTGCACATAGAAGCAACTTGCATTCCCTTCTGGAGATAACTAATCCATATTTATTTTTATTACAACTTACTCTGCGAACGTAAAAGGATTCAAAGCACTAACCAGCATTGCCCTGTGTTTCCAGTACCTCTTCCACAGACCCTGACTAGTTGGGAGGAACCTTGAGAGGAAAGAGGAAACCTTTACTCCTATCTCTGAAGGGCAAGGGGACAGGCAGTTAGAAATACTGTTGTCTCTTCTAGGGAAACTTTGTATCCCAGAGGGAGATAATCGTACTCTCAACAGAAATGGTGCTAATGGAAACATTTCTGTTAACTGCCCGCTTCAGCAAAGGAATATTGTCACAGATTAGACAGGGAAATTGGAAATTCAAGACCAATCTGAGAAAGCTCCTTGCAATTACAAAATATGGTCATTAATGTTTGAAAGAGGCTAAAAGAGAACATATCTCAGCGTCAAAGTAAAAAGTAGGAGCTTTTCTTATGTTACTTCTTATCATTTAGATAAGAAAATAAAAATAAAAGGAAAAGGAAAATTTTAGTAGATCTCTGGAATGACAGAAAAATAGGTTTTTCTTTCACCACCAATACAGAGAGTGATGTATATGGCTCTAAACTGGTTTCTTGTTTGATACAGTGGGCTTAGTGTAATAAAACAATTTAGAAATCTCTATTTGACTCCAATGGAATTATCAGATGTTATCCTGCATCTTGAGAATATGTACTTTTTTTGGAGAATCCTAAATTCCCGGGTCAACATAAAACAATTTGCCTCTTTTACCTGAAAGACAGCTCTGTGATCTTCAACAACTTGCTCCTCCATTTCTACCATCTGTGACACAGCTTCATGGAAACTAAACAACTGTGGAGAAACTTCCTCTTCCTAAAAACAATAGTTAAGTTTGTTACACTGAAAAGAACTTGGCTAAAGGAAACAGACTGAACATGTTGCATTCCATCACAGAATATGAAAAGAAACACATGGAATTTGTCGAAGATAGACTTAGAAGTTTATATTTCTGACAAGAAAATTTTCAAAAATTAAGGGAGAAGGGAAGTAAGACCAAAATGCTAACAAAGTTTAATTTAATTCATATTCACTAAATTTTTCCAGTCATACACCCTAGTGAATACTGAAAAACTGGGAAATCTACATAAAGAAAACAAGTCAAAAAATGGAAGATGGAAGTCATAAGAGGAGAACAGTCATTTCTAGCAGGTTTTAGCATCTACAGAAAACTTGTCTGGTGTCAGGGCCCTTTTTTCTGCTGTTTTTTGAGAACAGAGAATTGCATTCAATACATTTCATGATATCAAAATGTATTTGTTTGTTGGAAAATAAGTATAATAAACGTAAAGGGGAAAATAAAAAAAAGTAGCTGTTAATATGAGAAAAATGCAAAATACAGTATTATATACTGTGGTAACACACAGGACTTTTCTTTAGACATGAATAGTTAACAATCAAAGAGGAAAGGAGACAGTTTGCTGGAATTAAAGTTTTAGCAGGACAGCATGATTCTTTACATTATGCTTTTGATTTTTTGAAAAATATACCACACAGCTTAATCAAATTCTACTTGAACAAGGGAAAAGTATGATACAAAAGGCTATTTAGGTGGAAGGCTTGTCCAGTAGGAAGCCCTAAGAATCACACAGCATATTCTTAGAAAATAGAGCCCCAGAAGAAGAACTAGGTACTAAAATGAGAAACTCCATGGAGAGTTACTTGAGACAGTGAGAGAGTAAATAAGGTAGAATAGTAAAGATTTTCCTTTTTATCTTTGACTAGCATTTCCACAAACTGCATTTTAATTCTTGTTGAACATGAAAAGAATAAGAATTAGAGCTGACAATGGTCTGCATGTGCAAAACGTCCTTCAGAGGATACCTCCTAGCCCCAGTCCCCCACTCATCCACCAGGAGGACATTTTGGGAACATGTCTGTGGCTTTTTCCCAGCCAAGGGGCTGGGGTTTCACTTCCACGAAAATTAGGATGTGGGGAAAGAAAAACCATGTACAGCTGCATTTCTAAATACAGAGAGGGGCAACTTGACTTGAAATGAGTGTTACATACACGGAAAATAATGTTCAAAAACATTTTAGTGGATAGCTTCCAAGGATACTTCTAACTTCTCTAATAAGCAATGAAGCTATACTGGAAATATGCAAACAAAACAATGTTCCTGCCTAGAGCAGACACTGTGTAGATGCTAAAAGTCCTAATCAAGAAAAAAGAAAGATGTAAAACATTTTTCTCTCACCCTCCAAGAAAACAGATTTTTCTATATTGGAATAAATACTATAACAGGAAAAGGTGAAGTGTCATGCTGTACTTATTAATGATATTGCTAATGGGCTATAAATACACATTCTTTTGGTGTGGTTCTGACACTGTATTTATAAACACCTCTTTATATGCAATTCTGTAAAATACTCACATTTTGTTCACAAAGCAGTTTGAGATCATCCCTCTGAGGAGAGCTTCCTACACCCCACTGTGTCTCTAAGTCATCCATCTGATTTGGAGCATGGTGTATAACTGGACGGACATCTCCGGCTGCACTAGGATCAACTGTCAGTTCCTTCACTCTGCAATCAGAAAATATTTTATTTTTAAATTAGTAACTTCCTTCACAAAATAGTCACAATGAAAAAAAAAAAAAGAAAAAAAAAGTTCTTTGGGTTTGTATACTATTCACTTCATTTTCTAAGGATGATGATGTCAGCTTCATAAATTTAATGTACTTTCAATGCCAAAAAAAGGCTCCTAAAAACCACGGGCCATTGAATTTCAGCCAGGCGAATTAAAGCAAAAGGCATTTTTTGGTTAAAATTTTACTAGTTTGGGGAACTAGTTTTTACTAGTTTGGGGAAGAAGGGAAAAATCCCCAAATCTTCAATGTTAATAACTCTTCAACAAGCGAACAATATCTGAAAATTGTAAGGACAAGGTCATATAGCTAGCACCCTAAAGATCTGACCATCTTTCTTTTTCTGTGCAGACAATTTTGTTTTAAAGAAAGAAACAAATCAGTACCTCAACTAGCTATCATAAGCAAAGCTCCCAAGAATTCTGAAGAAAATAATAATTTTCAATCAAGTACCCCAGAGCATGAATCCAACTTTTAATTAAAATTAATTTAATTAAAATAATCTCAAAAGTGAAAATATCTTATTAAAATGTTAGACTCTTGCAGAATGAAAATAATTTAAGAGATTGACAATCTGATTCAGGAAAAAAGTTCATTTAAAAATAAGTTTACAAAGCAGACTATCAAGGTCTGAATTGATAGCAAGTATTAAAACAAACTCTTCATATCTAAAGGGAAATCAAGTTTTTTAAAGTAGCATTTTTTACCAAAATGCAAACTGTATTTCATTTATCTCCAGAAGATGAAATGTTTCCAAAGTATATATGTATCAAAAATTCCTGATATTTTTAATTAGGTAGCCAAAAGAGATACATTAATATTATTCAAAACACAGACTTGTCACAGATTTGGTCCACTAAATGCATAAAGGTGACATCACCATTTTTTTAATGTATGAAGGAAAATAGCAAGCCTGGATAAAAAGTATGGATGTTTAAGGAACATGAACAAAAAAAACCAATGACTGCAGATCATGCAGAACCATCACCTGCCAAACAAAATAAAAACAAAATATGTGTGACTCAGGCAAGGGGACTAATGAAAGGTTGGTCTGTAAAATTAGATAGCCAAACAGAAAACTTAAAAATAAAGATTCCATGTGTAGAATGAAGTAGACCTGGTGATTGAAGGAGAAAAGTCGTCATACTCATAAGAAGGAGAGAGATCAGAGCGACTGCCACTACCCTGTGAGAAGGGAATGTCCGAAGGACTAATTCCAAATTCCTTTACTCTGCAGCAGCAAAATACAGCAGCAAATTAAAATAAAATGTTCTCACAAAGACAGTTAAAATGACAACTATTTTCTTAGTATTTAATAGCATAACAAGAAAATAAATTATTTTTAAATTTAAACGTAAGGGAGTGCCAGCATATCTAAACCTGCAAATTTGAGTTAATGTATCACTAACAAAATTTAACAAAAACAGTGCTGCTTTTTGAAGGAAAGTATAATAGAAATGTTTTCAGAGGTTTAATTCCAGATTTCTCTTAGTTTAGTTAGTAAAATTTGGTCTACGTTCAACATTCTACTAAATTGCTCCTTTCATAATATCAAACCATTACAACTGTAATAGTTTAAATTATATACTGCCCATTATCTTACACTGCACACACACCAGTACTTAGAACCTAAAAAACACCACTTTTTTTGTTAAAACAATGTATCAACAGAAAAAGGTAAAATACTAAACAAAACGCATGGGGTAACTTTACACTGATAGGCATCTACTATATAACAACACACAAAGCTAACACCAAGGATTACACATATATAGCATACTAGAGATAGGTATTTAGTTTTTTGGAGGTGGCCCCCAATACTACCTTCATGTCAGAAGATCACCTTTTGCATTACACTCACTACCCCCTTGTAAGAAAAAATGTACAATGTCTTTTGCTGGAATCACTTTTGCAGCTCTTACTCTGTAAGAAGCAGAAAGGTCCAGCCACCCTGACCAAAGTGAATTTTCCCTATGTTACCTAGATGCCCCATACTGATAAGGATGGAAGTCACATGGAGCAGTCCAAGTTGGACAGATTTGCTATGAGCTCCCTTGATGCAGGCATAAGCACATGCAGCCTCTCAGAGGAAGCCTACTGCAACCCTTCGAACCTAGCAGTCCTTTTTGCCCAATTAGTGTCTAGTTGGGGGTCCCCAGACAAGCAGCAGTGGACAGAGTTCAGTCTTTACAATTTTTCAGAAAAGAAAAAAAAACGATACCAGGCCACTAGGTGGTGGCATTTTCTGGGGAAAAAAAAAAATTCCAAACCAGAATTTCCAGTGGCTAAGGCGTTTGTTTTCCTCCTTTGTTCTCTGCAGCAAAGGAGGGGGGAAATCTCTGGGTTTTGCTGTAAAACCTTGGGCAGTTCTGACTGCAGGCACACAGGGGACGTGGCCACCCCATCGCCGCAGGCCCAAACTGCAGGAATTCCAGCTGGGGAAGGTCCTTTTACAGTTGCAACGGGGAGAGGTCAGCACTTGCAGAGAGCAGTACAGATCTCGGAGGTGATTCATCAGCCTCTGGAGGTGCTGGCTTCTCTACACTGGCTACAAAGCCACTGTTTTATTAACTGACTTCTCACTTAGGTACCCCAGGTATTACTTAGGATGCATAAAATTTGAGCCTCAGCACTTGCAGAATTCAACAAGAATACTTAGTATATAAATAAACTTCATGTTACACTTGGCAAACACACATTCTTGATAAATATACTTGGTAGGTATATAAAACAGGTTGACAACTCCATGCAATTCTAAGGGGGTGAGAAAGTATATTACAGAGAGGTATCTCAGCACACACCCCTGGAAATCATCATGAAAATCAACTCCTGTTACCTCATCAGAGGCTCTAGGAGATGAGGAACTTAAGGAAAAATTTCTTGTCAGTGAGGGTGACAGAGCACTGGAACAGGCTGCCCAGAGAGGTTGTGGAGTCTCCTTCTCTGGAGATCTTCCAAACCCGCTTGGACGCAGTCCTGTGCCACGTGCTCTAGGTGACCCTGTGTGTGCAGGGGGGTTGGACTAGATGACCTCTAGAAGTCCCTTCTAACCTTAGGCATTCTATGATTGTGTGATCATGAATACTAACCACCTCTAATGTAAGAGCTGATGTCTCCAGAGGAGGGGCAAAACTAATGAAGGCATTTTCCATATTCCCTGCCCTCCACACTATATCCAAATAGATAATGGCTTAAGTGGAGTTTCTATTGATTCTTTTGTAGTGGTTGTAAAAAGCTGCAAATTAAATAAAATACGTGCCCTAATGAGTCTTTTGATCTTAATTTTATTACAAAACGCCAGTACACTTAAATTTGGGAAGTAACTAAAACAATTACATATCATGGAGCAACAGTATTCCAAATTTCAGAGATCAACACCTAGCGTAACTATAGACAATAGTATTTTCCATTCCTATTTGCGTATCTCAATGTATTTAGGGTGTTTTGACATGATGCCATTCCTGGAGAAATTGTAGCAATCTGGAGAAAACACACCGCAAGTTAATAAATCATTTTGTAGAGATCAATTCAAATTAAATTTATTTTTGATCTCCAGTCTCATGGGAGATCTACAAAAAATTGTCCACGAGATACAGATGTTCTAATAATGACATCTCAAGAAGAGAAACATCAAGTCAAATCTTCGGTTTATTTTTTTTTAACCATATTCAAAGCATTAAGAATTGAAGAAAATTTCAGTTAATTTCCCCCATCTGACAGTTTTGGTAACACAGAATGTAAACGCAAAAATCTATTTGCAAAATAAGACCCCTCAAAAAGGGAAATATACAACTCAGTAGAAAATAATTCTAATGGATCCCGGAAACAATTACTAGATTTTTTTTTTCAATCTTTGAAAGCTGTTCTCCATTCAAGCATACTTCAGGCTAATTGAAGAGATCTACACAGGCCACAGTCCAAAACAGTACTTATTAACATTAAAGTACGTGTTTAAGTAATTTTCCTAAATAAAGGATTTTTTTTTTTCTGAGCTTGAAACTATCTGTAAATACTTCACAGGTAACTAAGGACTAGACATATTTGGAGTCTATCAGTCTTTCATTTTCCAGTGAAAGAAAATAAAAAAGAAAGTGAAGATCTCACTTTCTTTTCAATACCCAACAAAAATAACGACGTGATCAGGCAACAGTGGCATCATTATTTGTCCTAGCTGCTCTCAGTAGTCTAGTTCTTTCCATCTGCACTCTCTTCAGAAGAGCCATAAAGGCACTGTCCAGGACAACCACCCCTATGATCCTACCCCCTAACACCTTTTTTTTTTTTTTTTTTTTTTCTGACAGCACAGCATTAGTAGACTGAAACTGATGGGAGTTTAGATAATCCTGGTCTTTTCTTTCATCCTGCTGCTGACATTACTGTACAAAGGCAGAGGTAATCATCCTGAGAATTTCTCCTATTGAGGAGAAAAGAAAAATACAGGGTGGGAGGAGGTTAGAAAGCCTAAAGCATCTGCTACCGTGTACACTAAGTTTCAACTCCTAATATGGGTACTCACCAGTTACTAAAGGAAAAAAAGAAGAAATGTGGGTTTAAAATGATCATATGACTACATGTTTCTTTATTAAGGTTCTCAAACTCCTTCCAGAGTCACTGTTATGTGAAACGTGCATCTCATGCAACTCTCACTTCCATTTAACGTTTAAAGTAGATGACACTTGGCAGCTGTCAGAATATCGGGGCCAGGGGGAGGTTGCAACTTCTTCAGGTGTACAAGAAACAGAATGACACTGAACGTGGGGCCTGCCATGCGGATACCTCCTCGAGCTGTGCACAGCCCTGTGCACAAGACTCAGTCTGTTGAAAGCAACGCCCACTGAAACACACACACCCCGGTGCCCCCACAACCCAAGGACGGAAAGGACAGGAATTCTGCAGGCTCCCCTTGCTTTATATGGAACGGGGATTCATAGTTTCAGATGAGAAGTGGGGAAAGAGAAGCACCATCTATGGTCAAGAGGATCTTTAAGACCAATATTCAATCTGAATATTGAATCTATTGGCTTATTAGCCAATATTTAATTTGAATATTCAATATTCAATTTGAATATCGAATCTGTAGTGCTTATTAGCCAAAGTGAGAATGATGTCCCTTTTGGGACACCTAAGTCTCCAAGCTCCTTCAAGCCTGTAAGACTGAGGAGTCTGGACAACTGCAGCAAGTGAATGGCTTGATACTGTTTAAAAAAATAAAACTATTCTGTGTAGCTACCTTGCAGATTTCAGCTGATGATACATTACTGAAAAAGGGATGCAATTTATACTAGAGCACATTTCCAGATTTCACAAAGAGGTTACAACTATTTAAAGACAATGGAAATAGTCTTTGAAACTATTTAAGGACAAGAGCTTTCGTGAAATTAAAACAACTAAGAAAACCCAAATCAACGTATTTAAACACATCTCTTGGAAATAAATATATATTGTAAATGGATGCTCAATTTTCCTTCTGATAGAAGGCTACTGGATCTCTAAAGGGGAGATAATTCATGAAAATGAATTATCTTACATGTTCAATAAATAATACTCTCTTTAATTTATGTTGCCTATAACAGGATAAAATATTTGGAGGAAACACTACCACTATTTGTATTCTACCTCGTAGCAGTTATAATAGTATTATTGTACCTGTAAAAATCTCCTATGCTGTATTCCCCCTACAATACTATTCTAAGAATATAGCAGTGATCTCTATAATAAACTGTAGAAATCTGCAAGAAAACTCCTCTTTATTGAATAACTCAGTTTGCATTTTTACAAGTTCCTAACACCACAGTTAATTAAATAGCTCTGTCGCAAACAAGCAACCAGTGTAGGATACCTACTCTTTTAATTCAATAAAATACTGTTCAGCTCTAGCAATTAGAAACCATGAAGATTTGCCATTTTCTTTCATTGTACATTTCTTTAGTAACTTTTTGCTAGCATATTACATAAACTTAAACATAAACACGCCTAAATGCCAGGCACACCATGACAAACTGCAAATTCCACAACGGAAGGATAAATAAATTGTCTGGATAAAAGGAGATAAAGAAAGAATCAGAAGATGGATGCTGTTCCTAATAATGGTGAGGATACACTATTCCCCATACATGACCATTGGAGGGGAGAAATCCTGAAATCCTGGCCCCCTTCCAGGGAATCAGAGAGGATTGGAGACGATTCTCCTCCAAGGCTTCTCCTACATATGCTCAGAAACCTCTGGACAGGGAGCTTCTTCCTCCATCTGTATTGCAGGAAAAAAATAAGATCTGCAAAAGGGAGAGCTCAATTTATCGTAAAAATGTACACTCGGTTTCTTTTCTTCACTCCTTTTCTTTCCATCCTTTCCTTCTTCCTGACTTCCAATCATAATTCAGCATACAATGTAATCAACAAAATAGTTTTTCCCAAGTCAGTATTCTGAGGAAGAAACTTCACTAACAACACTCTTGATAAAAACTGAATTTACACATTAAAAGCAGAACACCACAAACGGTCCTATTTACAGAAAACTCCACTGAAAAATAATAGGAAGAAAAGTAATGCCTCAAAATGAAAAGGTTTTCTTAACTCTAAAGTGATTACAGTTACTGGGGTGAGAAAATTAAAAATAATTCAATTCTATTTCCACTCACTTTCAGAAGCATTATTTTCCACTGTGATTCAGTACTACATTGAATATACTATTCAGGAAAATAAGCTTTATTTGGAACTAAACACCAGAAGAATTGACCAGGGATTATTCTTGATGGCACTCTTAATGCATTTAAGCAGGATAAATGTTATGACAACTAAGAAGAGCAATAATTAAATCAAAAAGCTTCACTAAAACAGAGACATTTTGTTAAAAGAGGTAATGGTGAGAACTTATAAATAATTCTGAAGTGTTAATACTTGTATGTACAGAGAGTATTTCCAGAAAGGCCAACTTTCCACATCCTTTTCAGTAGTGCAGATATATGCATGGTTTAGCTTTCTGATCCAGTACAGCATTTGTACAGCGTTCTCTCAATGAAACGAAAACAATCCTACATTTTCATAAGAAAACTCATGAAAGGACCACCACCCACTGTACTGACAGAGAATAAAAGATGAATAAAAAAAGGCTATTTTACCACCATTTTCAAACTAGGAGTGTGCTTAATAGCTAAATAGAAGATTAGGCTGACTTAACTCGGTGGTTTTCAGGCTATGGTCTGCAAAATTCTGTGGCTCCTAGACTAATTGCAAGAAATCTGTAAAAGGTAACAAACACAAACAGTCCAACAGTTGCTGTTCACCACAGAGATTCTGCACTTCCATAAAAAGTAATATTAAGAATGTATAAAGCCACTTGAAAGCCAGTGTTTTTATCTCTCCTTTCGACCATCTGAGAGAATTCTGGTTTTCATACCGTGCAAACACACATATATACAACTATCCATCCCATCTGCTCCAACTACTCCTTGCCTCAATAGCCTTTAGCATATTCTGATGCCTTTGATGCCAACTCTAAATTTGCCTGTCATTTAACGACTCTGCTCTCACCAGCATGCACACAGTAGACTCAGCCTTTCCCAAACTTCAGCTGAAAACTCTAATAAAATTAGGACATCTTTCAAAAAACAAACAAATAATAATAATAAAAAAAAACAACTCAGACTTACCATACAGGTACGGGAGTTCTCTCCTATGAATGAATCTCTTAGCACCTGAGTAAGTTTACTTGCTCTGAAGGGTGTATGAGGTTTATTTCGGCCTAAGGCTCTAATGCACTCCTGAAAGAACAAGTAAGTTCTGTGTTTATTCACCTCATCACAAAGGAAAACATAAATACTGGAGATGCAACTTGAATTCATAAAATGCAAACTATGTATGTACAAATTTACCACTAAGGCTTGGATTCAGAAAATGTTAGGCTTTTGTCTCTCATTAAGTTTGGTGGAAAACTGGGAACCCACACACAACAGACCAAAATTTTTCTACATATCATCCAAAATATGTACACTTATTGTAGCTAACAAACTACAGGGAAAAAAAAAAGATGATGTTGACAGTAAATCTGAAGACCAACAATAATTTCTGATTATCAGCTGCAAAAGCCTGAACGATGTACAGCCTCCACCAACAGAAGAAGAGGGGTCTCTGAGATGTATTAACACTAACAATTAAAAGCAGTAGCTTTGATCGTTGACTCTACCACTGGCTTTCTTTACAGCTCAGAAGAAAACACTGGTGCTAAACTTTCTGAAAGCTTCCAGAGCTCACAAAAATAGTATAGCTCCATATTCATACACTCATAGCAGAAGACATCTGAAAACATAGGTCATTCCACATTTCACGATACAGTTAAAAGTTAAAAATTCAAAATAATGCATCCTCTTTTACTCACAACTACAGTATGAGCCTAAACTAATATTTGCAAATGATTGCAGAGTTCCACTGAGAAATACTGCACAGAAGTAAAAATTACACAACTACTAGAGAACAGCTAAGTACAACAGTATAAAGCAAGATTATATTAATCTAAACATCACATTTATTAGCTGACATTAGATCTAGTACCAATGGGCAAAATAAATTATGTCTCGCACACAAAAAAAGGCTTAAAATTAAATTCCTATTCTGTTGTTGTCACCACTGTCACATTTTGGTCATTAATTCTTGTCCTTGGCTTTGCCTTAATACTTTTTGTCCACACATCTATTCCTATTTATAGTTTCCTTGGTACAATTTTAACAGAATTCTACACACTTTGTGTCTTTGAACTTCTTACAGCTGTACATCAAGAGCTGTTGAAATTAGCTTTGATTTTAGTAGGAGTAATGGATGGAACGCTTTAGTGCTACACATATAGTTCTAAAAGTTCAGCTACTCCTCCAATTGCAAATGTATCCTTGCGGCTTTTTGAAATTCCCTGGAAACAGCTTATTGCAAAAGCCAGGCTAGAAACTGCAGACTGATAATCCAAGAAAAGCACTGCAAGTGTGAAATAGCATAAAACAGAACTAAGAAGGGCGCAGACGGAAACTGCAATGATACAGAACAGAACAAACAAGGGCAGGTAGGCTTAAACTCATAGAATGGTTGATGTTGGAGGGGACCTCTAGAGATCACCTAGTCCAACTCCCCTGCTCAAGCAGGGGCACCTGAAGCACATGGCACAGAGTCGCAGCCAAGTAGATTTTGCTAAAGTGATTATTTAAAAACTCCCTAGCTGAATTCTATAGAATGAACACAGCTTGGATGAACTGAAATACTGAAACTTCTTGAATTTCACATGCAAATGTTAAAAAGAACTCAACATTTATAGGGGAACAAGGCAGTGCATTCCTTGAAATTTTTTTAATTCATTTGTGTGTCACTACTATACTTAAGGAGAAAAGCAGATTAGACAGGAAAGGGACAACAGATTTTGAGCAAGTGACATCATAAACTAAAAACAGTAAGAAATGTACATGTTTAATTTTTGATACTGTAACCAAAAAAAAATTGAAATATTTTAATTTACTGTAATGATTTTATATTGCTCACTTTGAAAAATTAAAATTGTATTCTTTGCTTAAAAATATGAGGATTATAGGAAGGCACTGCCAGCTTTCAGATCAATAGAGTTTTAACTATTATTGCTTTTCATCACAACTCAGAAAACCAGGTAGCAAAATGACAACACTACTTCCATGCAGAGACATTACAGAATTAACTTCTTATTCCAAAGATATGAACAGGTTAAAATATTCAACACAGAGATTGATATTAGCATGTCAACAGCAAATCTTGTGTTAGCACCAAAGACCACTCTTCAGAACATACTAGCTCAATTTGAACTTGATAATTAATAATTTAAGGGGTCTTAACTACCGATAAAGAAGCTGTATAATGTATTTGGTAATAAATGAGAAAGGGAGAATTAAAATTTCATCAAGAAAGAGATATGTGTTATTTTGCTGCTGTTTAGACCTCTACAAGACATTGACTTATTTTTATTTCCCCTTGCCCACATAGCGAATGCAGCAGAACTTTTAACTATTACTACAAAGATAAGTTATATGAAAATTAACTAAATATATTGTATGGGTACTGTACCAAAGGCACCAGGCAGTACAAAAGCTGCAAGCAAACTAGCAAAGCCAAACTAAAATAGTTTTATTCCATCTCATTTGAAAAAAGCAGCAGGATCAACAAAACATAACCTGCATGATTTATTTTGAGGCTAAATCAGAATAAACTGTAATTTTGGAATTATTGCTACCATTTTTTCAACATGCCATAAAATTCTGTAATGACACATAACAATTTTATGGCGTTTTATGAGACCAAGTTATAGGTAGATACAAGTCTTCTCCCAAGTTTATATGGGTATAAAATAATAGGCTCAGTGATTTGGGGTTTAGATTCTTTATATAAACATCACAATGCTGCTGCAGAGAGAAGTTAACCTAAGCAAAGCTCAACAACAACAGAGATAAATTTGGGAGCATTCAAAATTACTAAATATTTTTTACCCAAAAAAAAATTAAAAAAAAAAAAAAAAAAAAAACCACAGACTTCCTTATTTAGCCTGGAGCACTTTAGAACTTTATAAAACACAGGACAAAAATATTTTAAAAAATAATTATTTTTTATTAACTTTCTCCTGTTCTGGATTAACACATGTAAATCTGTAAAGGTCTAACAGTTGAGACGATTTGCTATACACAGTAGTCAAAAATGTATTCCACTTTAAAGGGTTATTTTAGCATATTTGTTAGTTCTTTCTACTGTTGTGTTGTTTTCTCTTGTAGTGAATTATTTAGAAAGCATTCATTGACAGTGGTAAATAAACATGCTCTAAAGGTGAATTTTATTTCAATCTGTTCTAAAAAACCTGTATTGATCTTAGAATCAATAATAATATGTCCAGTTAGCATCTCCGACCTTCATTAACAAAGTAAACTATCACTTCTCCCATTACAGGTGTATATTAGAAAAGACTTCACATCAGTCACTGTGCGTGCGTGTTTGCGTGTGTGTGTGTTTGTATGTGTTTTTAAGCTACATGAAAGCTGACACACACTGTTTCTGCAATGTTTCTACTAGGTAATTACCAAGTGTACTTTCAGGCATTTAGAGGAAAATCAATACACTATTTTACCTGTCACATGAGTAGTCAATGTAGACAAGCAAAGCCTGTGAAAACACCCATTTTAATAGTCACTGCTATCATACAAAGAAGGCTTCCACCTACTCAGATACAGTCAAAACATTTCAGTTACCTTGAGCGCTAAAAGGCTCTTGTTTATTTCAGCACCTTCCAGCCGCGTCTGCCTATCTGCACTGGAAGTGTCTGCTCCTCTTTCATTTCCAGCCAAATCAATCAGAGAAAATTTACCATGCAATTTCCCTTTCCTTCGCAGAATAATCTGAAACACTGCATGGCTTCGAGATGAGTGCGCATTTGCAGAAGTCTGACCAGATGTCCTTCAAAGGAAAGGAGAGAAGGGAAGGACAGATGACTACTAGCTGGAACACATGAGGGATTGCACATGTTAAATATACTAAATATACATATTAGAATAAAATACTAAATATACTTGGAATGTTACTTTTTCCAAGGTAAAGTTCTCTGTCTTCCTATACATGTTGACAGTTTGTCTAGCATACCCCTGAACACTACAGATACAATCCCAATAATATGAACGTACTATAGTTAGGTTTTTCCATCTCTTCAAATAGAAATGGAAGATTAATAGTGTTCTACCTTTCTCTTAAAAGGCAAATAATATCTTCAAATGAATCAGATCTTCAAATATCTCAGGCTATCAGACAGCTAACATGTAAATTGCCGATCACATTTTTTATCTGAAAAAGCAGCAGTCTCTGTGAAAGACTCATTTTAAAAACAATGAAACTGGATTTTAACCAAAAGTAAAAATATTAACCTCTGTCACCACATATCAAGGCATGCCTTAGTTCTAAAGAACTAAGAATCGGGCAGAATTCCAGATTATTAATGATGTGAAGTTAGGTCAGTGAGCTGGTTACATAAATGCATACAGTTTATACCCTGTAGAAAAATCAGTTCTTATTTCTCTCTATGAGGCAAAGCAACTCTGAACTACCTTAATTCAAAAGGCAGGCAAACTCAAAAAAAAAAAAGTTGATGTTCTGATTCTTTTATTTACAATGAAAAACTGGCGGAAGCCATGGGAAATACCTGCAGCTGTTGCCTATTTCAATAAGTTTCAAAACATCTTCAACACATTTGACTTCCCGTTCCTGTAATCCC